TTGAGGTTGTAGTGCCAAACATATCTTGTTGCTGCATCGATGAACGTGATGACATAGTTGAAGTCGGCTTCAGTGTCGTCTTGAGGCATGTTTAAGATGTCGCTGTAAACTTTTTCCATCGGTGCGTATGCAGGTGCGCTTGGGTTGTGATGTGATGGAAAACGTTGGTGGGGGAGATCGGCTTCGGGGCACGTGAAGCACCGTGTGCGTGGTCGTCGAAGTTCTTGGCCGCTCGTTGTAAGAAGAGCGTTTCTCTCTAACACTTTGGCTTGGATGGTTTGTAGTACTGTGCTGTTTGCAGGGTGCCCGAGACGTTGGTGCCAGATGTCGTCGGGAGCGCGATGGCCGGGCGACCGTTGGTACATATCGGTGTTGGAGAAGAACGCGACAACCATGGCGGGACTTCGGCAGACTTCTCGTGTGATTGGCATAAGTTGATCTGCTTCGGTTGGTGGTCCTCGGATTGCTGGTGATGGTACTCGGCTGGGTCCCGCTGCTGTTACTTTAGGTGATATCGAGGAAGGAACGCTTGCTGGTACTTGTCTTTCTTGTCGAATAACTGCTAACGCTCGTGTTCTCTCTGCTGCAGGTATGGTATTGGAGTACCAGAAACCATCTGGGGTGAAGTCGGGGTCAAGATCCGGCGGGTGCGTCCAAGCGGCGAACGGCACGATGCCATCGCTGTCGGCAGTACCGCGGTCCGGGACAAAATCCAACACGAAGACACCGGACTTCAGGAGAGCACGACCGATGAAAAGACCGCCCTTCCTGTGGTAAAGGCGAAATTCGTTGGAGTCCGAATTGCATTCCAGGTGAATCCCTTTTGCCATTAACTGGCTGACGCTGAGTAAGTTGTATCCCAAGTTGTCGACGATTAGAACTTTGTTGAGTTGTAGTATGACGTTCGTCTCCATGGACTGAAGCTTTACGACGCCTTGTCTGTTTGTTTTCAGGTTCTCGTTGTTGGCGACGGTGATGATGACATCGCGGTTGAGGTGTCGCTCTCGCTACACGAAGCGCCCGGAAGAACACATGTGTTGACCGCATCAGCTATCCAAGAACCAAGTATTTCGCCCGGTGGGTTCGGCGTTGGCGACTGCAGCGTATGTCGGGTTAACTTGAAGTCCTTGTGAGCACGGCGGCAGCAGTTCTTCTTCATCTGGAGCGTAAGTGGGTGATGGGCCGGGTGCACAGTTGTCGATGTGTACCATGCAATTGATGATGTTTGGTATGCCTTGTGCAGATGTGGAGGAACGCCTCGGCGGGCTTTCTTGAGTGGAGGCGACTTGTGGGTCTACTAGACGATAAGCTCGTGGGCGTGTGCAGTTGACTTTGGAGTGTCCGGATGTTTGACAGTTGTGGCAGAACGGCGGCACAATAGTGAGTCCTTTGTTGCCTTGTTGATCTTGCTTGCCACGTCGGTTGTAGTTGTTGTCGTTCCTTCGTTGAGTGTAGGAAACTAACGGTTGTTGCTTCCTTGGTTGTCTTTCTTCAAACAGGTCCATCTCCTGTTGTTCAGCATGAAGCTCGGCGCAGAGGTGCATCTCCGAAATTCTTCCGTGGGCGCGAAGAAGCGAGCGGGTGGTTCTTCATTCTGGCCCGAGCCTAGCGAGGACAAGCGTCACGAAGCTTTCTTCAGTGATTGTGCCTCCGCACCGAAGCAGGCAGTCACGGAGTGTCTGGCAGCGACTCATATACTGCATCGCCTTTTCCCCGGTCTTCATCTGTATTGTTGTCAGCTGCTGCATGAGTCTGCTTTGTGTTACGCTGTCGTTTGCTTGTTAGAGACACTTGAGGTGATGCCATGCGAGTTCCGCGGAGTTTCCATAGCTCTGATACGTTCCGATGCTTTGCTGTTCTTGTGGTGACAGGTTCCACAGGAGAACTGTGTACGCAAGCAGTGACTGATACGTGAAGATTTCTTGCTCTTTTGCAGTGCCATTGCTTGGAAATGGGAGGGACCCGTTGAATTATCCCAAGAGGTGTGCAGCCTCCATCAGCAGCTCAAACTCAAAGCTCCAGGTAAAGAAGTCGTGTCTGTTGAACGGTGAGGATGTCTGCAGTTTGATAACGTGTGAAAACTGCGCCTAGAGACTCAGTATCTCGTTTGGTGTCTGTTGTGATGCAGCTGCTGTTGGTTGGGCATGGGGCGGCATGAACTCGAACGTCCCTGGTGAAGAGTGATAAGGCGCAAAGGTAGGTGCTTGATTGTGTCGCCCGAACGATGAGTTGTCGAGGCTCATCGGCGCCAATCCCATGTTTCCTCCGTTGCTTTGTGTTGAATGCGCAGGTGTCCTTGTCTGCTGCTGCTGGTCGAAGTGTGACATGAAGCTGAAGAACCTTTCCATAAGGTTCGGGTCGACGCTTGAAGAGGGTGATGGGGTCACCATTTTAGGTGCTCTTCCTGTTGTTTCTTGAGCAGCGCCGGTCTCGGATTGCAGTCCTGAAGTGTGCAATCCAGAGTTGCTGGGTTGGGTGTCTTGGGTGCTGGGTGAGCCCGTAGAGGTCTTCTTGCCCTTGTTGTCCATGACTTGTAATCAATGAAGTTTGTTGAGGTGTTGACTGTAGATAGACGTTGTTGCTGGGAGTTTGATCTCTGACCAGCTCTCATACCATGTTGGGCTGAGAAATGCCCTTAGGATCTTTCCAGAGACTAAGTCCCAGTTGTAAAAGGAGATTTGAGTAGTGCAGCGGAAGTTGAGTAGTTGAACCCTTGTACTAGTATGTGAGAACAAGTGATTGATTAAAAGAACAAGCATACAACAATATATAGAAAGTAGGAAGGTAAGCAGTTGTAGAATACAGTTGAAGGGCGGTTATCGAGTCGCACAGCGACTCGATTGTCGCTTCGGTTACCATTCTTGCAGTTGTAACGGTCAGTCGCAACCTCCGGTTGCGACCCTTCGAGTCCTTTCGTGTTCTTTGTCCATCCCCTCGTGTAACCTCCGTTGACTCGCGTACCCGTTACGATCTTTCTTGAGTGTGGTGTTTACACTTCAGAAACGCTAAGTCCTTCGAGATATTTCCAACAGAAGGCATATGGGCACTGGGGGTTCTCAATTATCTCTCCCTTAGCCACACCAATGTCACTGATGCTGGCCTCCTGCACCTGACAGGCCTTTCCTCCCTCAAGCATATGGGTCTTTATGGCTGTCGGTGTATCACGTCTGCTGGCATGGTGCGTGTGGGGCAGTTGACAGGCCTTGAAAAGCTGTGGCTCACCAATTCTGCAGTGGGGAGTGATGGGCTGCAGCACCTGGCCTCCGTGACCCAGTTGGAAGAGCTTCATCTGCCAGATGGGAGGGAAGTTACTTACACAGGACTTTGCAGAAGGTTTGGTATGGTTATTGTTAATGGAGGATAAACGTACCCTGATTATGGCAGAAAGATAGAGAACTGGTTGAGGGATATTGTTTTGCTTTTTGGATATGCACAGTACGTGCAGTATATGTCAATCAAAGCTATTGTGTGGACTAAACTGATTCACAATCAAATGCAAGGCCATGACGTGAGAATTGCGTGAAGAAAGATTGCACTCGGGTGTTTCGTGTGTTGCACTTTGCAACTACCAAGCAAATCCTTAGTGAGCAAAGCAAATGTCCCCATCACATAGGACGATTCTTCTCTCTCCGCTTTCACTCTTCCTACCTCTTCAGACCTTGGCTGCATCCGTGCCACTAACCCTTCCCGGGCAGGTGAGCTTATACGATGGCCAATGAGCCTTTTGACACTCTCTGCTGCAGTACGCTGTTAAAATAATGCAATAACTAGAATGAGGCATGCATGCTGGTTTTGTGCTACGCTGCTGTACTCTTTATAAGCATGCACCTACCGGTATCTAGCCTATAACAATATATAAATATGTTGACACACCCCCTAGGCTAGACAAGGGGCAGTGTCTGGCAAGAGACAAGCAGCTCAGGGTGGCACTACTAGTCCAACCTCTGAGGCAAGTGTCTGAAGACTAGTCATAAAATTACAAACGAGACAAGAGCAAATCAGGGCGGCACTACTACCGTAAACTCCCGGATAGAAGACCCGGGTGAATAGTATTGTGATATAATTCATACTTAGCATTTCTGTAAGTCGATTATAGGTAGATAGTGTCGAATCCTACTGTAGAAGATAAGTCCGTAGAATGACATCAGCAAATAGCGCTGGTCATGAGGACAGTCGTTTCAGTCACACGAACAGTCGCATCTCTTCAGTGTCATTTAGGGCGCATAGCGCGATAGTGACGAACAGGTTCATTAGCGAACATGTACTTTCCTAGAGCTATAAATCCTTGTTATGCCTTTTCATTATTTACTTTGATTACCCCACAAGTTCATGAGCTCAGGTTGTTCAAACCTTGACTTTCACAAGAGTTATACTCAGATTCAATTTTACAAGACTTCCGCTGTCTTACTAATCTACCATTCCAGTAAAGATCCTAGGCTAACACTTGAGGTTTTCCAAGTGTTCGTGTTTGCAGATTCCATACTGAGTCTCCTGCAACACGTGTCAAATTATTACAAATAGAAGACCCTAGGGTCTATTATCTGGGTGTTTTCTTATAAATGGGTACTCTGTTTACAAGACATGGATTTTGTATAGGTATGACATAAGACCTTCCTGGGTCGTGTATTCGGAATTTGCTGCCGCAATGCTAGTGCCACTGCGAAAAATGGTCCACGATTTGCTGCCAGAAATTGCTTAGGCAGAAATTTTCTCACAAGCGCACCATGCCATAATGATTGTGGCCAAATCGCAACATTCCTGTTGGCCCACAACTCGATATGGACGTGAGACAGTAATAAGATATTATACATGCAATTTTTCGTAAACTTTAATGAGTTCTGTTCATAAGAATTATAAGACCCCCTATTCCTTCTGTTTATAAGACAAGCCTCCAAATTCTTAGGGGGTATTGGACAAGACCCGTGTGTCTTCACGTTGTTCCGTATGTCTCTGAGCGGTGCAGCAGTCGAAGTAGTGGTGACTGGTGGGGAAAAATATTTGCTGTGCGCAGCTTCCACGGCATGTCCAGGTGGATGGAGCCGTGCTGGAAGCATGAGAAGAGAAAGACTCCATTAGGAGGAGTGGAGAGTGGTGCCAATGGTGATGCTGAGAGAGAGGAGGCTGAGGGAGGGTCAGCGTGGAGAAGAGGAGCCACAGCTGAGGTGACCCCCTTTCTGAAAGCTGGATGGGATTGAGGGTTGAGGGGGGAGCAGCAAGGCAGGGAGGGGTCGCCCGAAAGGGACGTGCTTAGAGGCGCTTGACATGGGTGCAAGGGCAGTTCCGGTACATGAGAGGCAGAAACAGAAGGCGGTGGGGACAATTACGAAGTGTGAGACATGCATGGCGGACATGCATGGCGGCCATGCATGGCGGGAGAAACCACACAGTGCATGGTCTCAAGTGTTGGCCTTTGTGTTACTCCCACCCCACCCACCCCCACGCCACACTCACCTTTCCATCAACACACCCTCGTTCTCGCGCTCGGCCTCGCATCAAGCCACCCTCGTATAGCGCCCACCCTAGTTATCACTCTCACCCTCCCAACACACTCACCCTCCCATCACACGCACCCTCCCATCACATGCACCCTCCCATCACACGCACCCTCCCATCACACGCACCCTCCCATCACACGCACCCTCCCATCACACGCACCCTCCCATCACACGCAACCTCCCATCACACGCACCCTCCATCCATTTCTTCTCCTCTTCACTGCAGGTGTCCACTTGTTCCAGGCAGTCTTTGGGCTTCCCGCTGCTCGCACTAACCGCCTCTGGCCCCACAATGAGCCGCAGCTGCGGCCGAAGGCACAGAAGTCAGAAGCACAAGGCACAGAAGAAATAAGCACAGGCCCAGTCTCAGTTTAGAGCTCGCCCTTAGTACGTTGAACCATCCCCACCTCCGGTGCTTTTTAAGGCGTCTGAAAATAAGAGCACAACTCACCGCGCTAGTGTGTCGTAATCGCTGTTAATCAGGACGACTTTTGAGGCGCCTCAAAAGTAAACTCTAGTCACCAGCTGACCTCATTGCTGCCTTGCCAGCCAGGTGAGCTCACTTTTGCCTTGCCAGGAGAACTCTCTTGTGCCTCGCCAGGTGAACCCACCGCCACTATGTCATAGTTGCTGTTGATCAGGAAGAGAGGCGTGGAGATGTACGGCAGCAGGTGCTCTGCCAGAAACACTGACGTGCAGTGCGGTGATGACGGGTGAAGTGAGGTGACGAAGGGTGGCGAGGTGTGTGGATGGGCATAAAGAGGGGATGGGGATCAGAGGACAGGAAGAATGATAAGGGGCCGTGGAGTAGAGAACGGATGGTGGAGAGGAGGAGAGGAAGGGAGATGGTGGCACATCTTGCTTGACTTACTTAGGCACATGTGGATGGCATGGCATATGATGCATGCATGGCATGGGCATATGATGCATGGCACACGATGCATGGCACATGATGCATGGCACATGATGTATGGTAGATGATGCATGGCACATGCATAGTGCTTCTCTGGCGGCTGCTTTTGGTTTGAGTTGACTCGGCGGCGTGATCCGAGACTAGACGGGCACAAAGCGCCTGCTCAGGGAAGGGGCGCACCTCGTAATGCTTCTCTGGCGGTCGGTCCTTGAGGCATGCTGGAGGTAGACTGGCAGACATGTTCTGAGGCGGAGAGGCGGGCGAGGGGAGATAGGGGAGAGAATGTTGTAATATATTATTATATACAACATGCATGACTAGAATAGGAGGTGTAGACATTTAAATGATTGGGGGGTTGTTGGTTGGGATCACGGCGCGGTGCTCAAATGCCACCAGGTTGGCACTGGTGGCGAAGTATGTCGTCTCCGGGAAGCGGAGGTGGGTGATCCGCATGTGATCCCGGAGGTACGACAGGCGCCTGGTGGTGGGCATGGGTAGCAAGGGACGACCCGCATCTGAGTGTGTGCAAGTTCATGAATCGGGATACAAGGGCAAAGGTTGGGGTCGTGCATACCCATCAAGAAAACCCAGCTCCCTGGGGAGCTCGGTGCGGATGGCAGCCAGGATGTGGTGCGGGATCCCAAGGTCCGCCTGGTGCATGATGTCTGACATGATGGCCAGGAAGGGGTTGCTCCAAGGGGCACGCGAGATCTCCCACTTCCAGAGCACGCTCTGCAAATGCAGAGCCGGGAATGAGGCGAGATAACATGTTGTTAGAGGTCCGGGAAACACAGACTGTTGCTTAGGGGGTATTCGAGAACGACGTGAAGCGAACCGACACTGGGTGGAAATCGACGGGGATAAAACCTTGTAACCTCCTGGAAAGATCAAGGAATCACTGAAGGAGTTCCAAGATATTCTTCCTGACGACCTTCTGAACGAGCTACCGCCATACCAAACGCACCACCACAAGATCGTGCAAGAACCACGTTCGAAGCCGACCTTCCGAGCACCATATCGGCTCAGCCCCACAGAGCTAGTCGACGTGAAAAAACAGATCGAGTATCTCCTCGCCAGAGGACTCATCTGGCTATCCACTTTGCCATACGATGCCCCAGTGCTCTTCACACCGAAATCGGACGGAAGCCTGCGCATGTGCATCGATTACCGAGCTCTCAACAAGCAGACCATCAAGAACAAATACCCAATACCACGAATCGATGACCTGCTTGACCAGCTTCGGAAAGCCACGGTATTTTCCAAATTGGATCTGCAGTCCAGATACTGGTAGATACGAATGGCGGACAATTCCATCCACAAAACTTCCTTCCTAACTCGGTATGGGTCGTACGCGTATCAGGTAATGCCGTTCGGACTCACCAACGCACCGGCAACGATCCAAGCCGAAATGAACCACATTCTACGCTGACTCTTGGACGAATGCGTGGTGATGTACCTGGACGACATCGTCATCTACTCGCGCAATATGAAGCAGCACGTCGAACACCTGCGACGCGTCTTCGAGTTTCTTTGATGAGAGCGATTCTACGTCAAATTGTCCAAGAGCGAATTCGCCCTTGAGAAAGTCCAATTCCTATGACACATGGTGAGCACTTAAGGAATTCACGTCGACCCCAAGAAGATCGAAGCCGTACGCGCATGGAAGACACCCAAGAACGTGAAGGAGTTGCAGCAGTTCCTAGGCTTCGCTAATGATTACAACAGGTTCGTGCCACAGTACGCGAAGATCGCAACATCACTCACGAATCTGCAGAAAAAAAACATGCTTATAAGTGGGAGCCGAAGCACCAGGAAGCCGTGGAGCAGCTGAAACAGGCACTCACGTCCGCGCTTGTACTCAACTTGCTAGACCCCGAACACGACTACGTCATCGAAGCTGATTCCAGCAACCAGGCAGTGGGAGCAGTCTTAATGCAAGACCAGGGGAATGGACTGCAACCAATCGCCTACCTCAGCAGGGGCAGAACTAAACTACCCGATACATGACAAAGAGGCCCCTGCTATCGTCATTGCCTTCAAAGCTTGGAGATGTTATCTCGAAGGACGAAAAACAACCGTCTACACCGACCACTGCAGCCTGAAATATTTGAACACAACCAAACCTCTTCAGGTGGCAGGTCCGGTGGATTGACTTCCTCGAGACACACTTCCACTATGACATCGTGTACAAGCCCGGCCACAAAAACAAAGCAGACGCACTTAGCCGGCCTGCACACGTTGCCGCCATCCCGATCGAAGGGATGAACCCACTTCTCAAGGGACTCTTCACACACGGGTACACAATCGACCCCGAAATTCCCTTGGCAAAGAAGCGACATCTGCTACAGTGGGACAGTGACATCGCGTACCGGAAGGGATAAACGAAAATCTGGGTACCCAATTACCCTCCATTGCGCCAGTTACTACTCGAAGAATACCACGATGTCCTATACGCAGGACACTTCGGTAGCAATAAGACACTCGCCGGTATCGCAAAGCAATACTACTGGCCCCATTTGGCAGACGATGTCTAGAAATTCGTCACCTCGTGTGATACATGTCAGCGGATGAAGAGCAGCAAGCAGAAGAAGGCGGGACTAATACAGCTTCAACCTGTCCCAGAACAACCATGGCAAGTGGTTAGCATGGATTTCATCACCGGGTTACCAACTACCACAAGCGGTCATGACGCAATCCTCGTCGTCATTGACGAATTCTCCAAAATGGGACATTTCATCCCGACACATACGACTGCACGCACCGGGGAGACGCATGGATTCGCGACGGGGCGGCTCTTCAAGGGCAACACATAAAACAAACAGTAAAGCACGGGGGTGGGTCAGTCATGATATGGGGGTGTATGATGTATGATGGCCCTGGATACATGTGTAAAATCGACGGTCGTTTGGACGGGCAGCTGTATCGAATCATCTTGCAGGATGAGCTTGCACAAACCATTGAGTTTTATGACCTTAATACCTCTGATGTCATTTTCCAGCATGACAATGACCCCAAGCACAAGTCCCGCCTTGTGCAGGAGTGGTTGTCCGAGCAGGAATATTCAGTCCTGCTGTGGCCCTCTTCATCCCCAGATCTCAACCCCATCGAGCACTTGTGGGCCCATCTCAAACGCGAGCTGTCCAAGTATGAGCACCCCCCCTCAGGAATGCTCCAGACTTGGGAGCGGATTCAAGAGATTTGGGAGGGGATAGATGCTGATGTGTGCAGGGGGCTCATTGATAGTATGCCTAGGAGGGTGAAGGCGGTGGTCAGGGCTAAGGGAAAATGGACTAGGTACTGATTTCAAGTGTGTCTTTTGCATAGTTTGAGCATGGCACAAACTGTCCGAGTGTACTTGTGTGTGTATGGATTTTTCCCAGGCACGTTATACTGTATTTTCGGGGCTAGTTCCCATGTGACAGTCTTGTATAGGCATATGTCTAACTCTTCCTTAAAACCTGGCAATGAATAAGCTGCATCTCTAAACACTACACACGATTATTCGCCTACAGAGGCTGAGATACGGACAATTTCTTCCGTCGCTGTACGCCGTTCTTCCTCTGCTACGGATGCCACGTGCTCACGCCGCAAAAACCAACAGCATCAGCTACAGTCCAACCCGCACACGACTCCATCACAACCATGCATCAGCTTTGGGATCGGACCCACAAGCGCCAGGCCGATCGCCATCGCAATGACCACACCATCACCGTGGGAGACCAGGTGCTCCTCGACACCCGCAACCTTTACATTAGCCATCTTCCATCTAAACTTCGACCTCGCTTCTGGGGGCCTTCCAACAAGTCTGTCTGCCCCCTTGGCCTTAGTCCCTCCCACCTCTCCTACTCTCCAATATCCTAATTAACCCATCATAGTCAAGGACACTCCCATCTGGCAAATAGAAGGTCTTCAGCTTGCTGAGGGAGGGCGGGCAATGTAGCCCAAACTCCTGCACCTGAGTCTCCAAAAGTTCCAACACCCCCAGGCATCTTAGCCTCCTCACATGCACCATGCTAGCAGAAGTAGCGTGCCTACAACCGTGAAGCCAGAGGGTGTTGAGTGCAGTAAGGCCTGCAAGGTGCTGCAAGCCAGCATCAGTAACATTGGCACCGTACTCAATTGTGAGGCGCCGAAGACTGCTCACTGCCCCAATGCCTTTCGGTGCACTGTCTGGAACATTGGTGTGGCTGAGACATAAGCTCTCGAGTTGTGGTAGCCTGTAGAGGTGCTTGATGCCCCCTGCATTGAAACCAGAGAATCCGTACAAATCAAGCCTCTGCAAATGAGTGGCGGTGGACACACGGGTGAGGACGACATCTGAGATGCAGGGAAGCTCCTTGAAACTCAAATTAGTCAATTGCAAGGCCGCTGCCTTTGAGTCGACTAAAAAACAGACTCATTACAGACGGGTGAAAGTGGAGACATGGGCGAGCAGTGTCTGAGATGCAGGGAAGCTCCTTGAAACTCAAAGTGCTCAACCCGGAGGCCTGCTGCATTCTCTGGGGAACATGCAACATGAATGGAAATGGGGAAAGTGACAACGAGCATGTGTGGAAGCAACTGGTGCTGCCATGCACCGCATTGAGAGCACATGTGACAACAAGTGGTACTAATATGCATGCATCACACCCCAGTAAATAACATGTGGGCACAACTGGTGCTGTCAGGCATCACAGTAGTAAGAGCATGTGTCATGTAAGGACAAGTGCAATGCCTTCGTCACCCCCATGCACAGACTTTGCAAGTAGTGAAATACGTACCATCTACAAGACCTCTTCATCATCCAGCTCCATTGTACCATCCATAATCTCTGCCAAATTCCTCATCACGGTTCCCAACTTCCTTGTAACTGTTCCAAATTCCTTCTGCAATGTCGCCACCTGTCTCTCCAATGCCCCCCTTAGGGTCTCCCTAATGGTAATTTTATTCCCCATCTTCATCTAACACTCCTTCTATTTAGTAAATATACCCATTCACTGCTGGCAATATCCCCTCCCCTTCCTCCAGATTGACCATTCCAAGTGCCTGTAGTATGGTTGGGGGGGGGAGGGGGAGATGATGTGTGATAAGAGAGGTCGAGGAGGAAGAGAAGAAGAGAAGTTGGGTAGAGAGTGTTGAGGTGGCAGATGGAGGAAAGGGAAAGTGAGTTGGCAGTTTTGAAGCAGCAGTTGGCATCGGCAACTCAGCGACTGGTGGCATGCATGGCGGCACTGGAGAAGGCAGCCGCAGCAAAAGAGAGCAGAGCGGGCAGGGGTGAGAGGGATTAGGTGTGGGGTGGAGGGGGGGAATGTGGGGAGAAATTGAGGAGGGGCAGGGAGGGGTGCGGACAGA